CCCGAGACCCCGGTGGCCCCTCCTCACCCTGCGGCCATTGCAGTCATCCCCCCTCAGGGCCCACTCACACATGTGCCCCCGCACCCTGCCCAAGACACCCCTGCAGGATCCATCCGTGGAGGCCGGGCCCAGAGCTGGGCCAGGGTAGCCAGTGGGCCTGGGCATGTGGAAGGCAGGGCAAGGGGCCCTCGGTGGGTGGCAACCCTCCAATTCTCCAGGTCCCCCAGGGCTGACCCACTTTTCAGACCAAGATGAGGCCCCCCACGGCTGGTATTATTTGAGCTTTTAATGACAGGAAACCAGAGCGGGCCGGTCCCAGCAAGGCCCGGAGGCGGTGGGAGGCTGTCTCCCTGTGCCCGCCCCTTCCAGGAGGTCCAGGCTGAGCTCTGGTGGGCAAGGCCACGCCCTCACTCTGGGGAGGCCCTCCCAAGCAGCAGCAGACCTGGCAGCGGGTCTCGGCCGCAAGGCCTCAGTGCCCTGTGCTTCCAGAGTCCCGCTGGCACGGCCTGCAGCCCTGGTAGGGTCGGGAGCCGCTGAGTTTGTGAGGTGGTGTGTGTGCGCACGTGTGTACGAGCGTTTGTATGGGTGTGAATGCGCGTGTCCCCATGTATACTGTATGTGCACGAGCACACCTAGGGGGGTTACCAGGGGAGCCCCTGCCTCTCGGGCCACAGGTCTCGTGGTGAGATTCACGCCCTCCTGCCGGGAGCCACCTTTGCCCTCGGTACCATGTGTCCGGCGCCACCGGGCGGGACTCTGGCCCTCAGGGTTCCCAGCTCCAGGACGCCCCCGGGGCTCCCTGGAGGGTGCCTGCTGGCTGGAGGTGCACGAGAGGGCTCGGGGACCATCACCAAACTGCGGCCGGGCCCAGCCCAGCCCCCGGACAGCATGCGGACAAGAGGGAGAAGGGGTGTCGCTACCTGCTCACTAATGGGGCAGTTCGATGACGTCACTCATTCTGTGGCTGTGTGTGAACCTCCCGCCCGTTCAAGCCAGTGTGGACACCGGGGCTGGGCTCGGCCCACACCTGGCCCCTCGGACGCTGAGGGCAGCCGTCTCGGGAGGCCTCTGGACGGGGCCCAGACCCAGAGGCAGGCTCCCGGGAGCTCTGTGATCAGAGCAGACCCAGGAGGAGAAAGGGCCCGGGGTG